TTATCCATCTATCTATCTATCTATCTATCTATCTATCTATCTGAATCAGTTATCTATCTATCTATCTATCTATCTATCTATCTATCTATTTGAATCAGTTATCTATCTATCTATTTGAATTAGTTATCTATCTATCTATCTATCTATCTGAATCAGTTATCTATCTATCTGAATCGTTTTCTCTCTATCTATCTGAATCAGTTATCTATCTATCTATCTGATTCTGGGGCCTTTTATATACTGCCCTTTCATGCCTGTAAAAACATCATTTAAATTGTAAATATCCCAACAAACGAAATTAAATATGCTTTATTTTGAGCAAGTATTTATTTATGAAAATTCGATCAAGGTATTCAAAAGGATGCAGATTTTATAATCGCTTTCACAAAGCTTCGCAAATTGAATATAACCCTCCTCTTCCTACAAGCATAGATGAAGTTAAGCAGAGACTCACTGTGGCACTGGAAAATGTTACGCAAGATAGCAATTCTTCAAGCGTAGATGTGACACAAGGCCGAAATTATGAGGCACCCAGTGAGGATCGAACTCACTACTCAATCGTAATTGTTCTAGTAAGACAAACTTGCTAACCATTACACCGCCTGGAGGTGCCGAAATGTTACGCAAGATATACTACAATATGCTTATCAGGAGCTGGACTATCAATCTGACGTGTGCTTTGCCACAGGTGGTGCATATATTTAACATTTTTGAAGCGTTTTAAATTATGTCAATTTCTAGAGGACACCCTGTACCTTTACACAGGATAGGCTGTAGGATTTTAGACGCATTGTGTAACCAGAAAAAAAAGAATGAGTGAATTTTATTTTACAATTTGATAAACAGAATATGAAGACAACAGTTAATTTATATCCATGCAAGTTTTATTGGAATCAATTTATTAGCTCATGTAAAATTTATTGAACCGTATAGTTCTATGGAAGCACCAAATTATTTCATTGAAAATCTTAAAATTTCCGTAGATGTGTGTTTTTGTGTCACGAACATGTGTCAAGTTTTCATTATTTTGCAAGTGAGTTTTATACGTAAAAAATTAATAGGGAGGAGTCACTAAATGTTTTAAACATCAAAACAATGTTCAGTTGTTATTATTACATTGCAGTAATCAAGGTTTCTGTAAAATGTTATTGCGTTTTTTCTGTGATGTTCGGTGACCATTAATAAGTTAGTATAACAGTGTTTAATTACGACCGCAAATAAGTACTTAAAAAGAAAAAAGACGTATAAGTGAAAAAAAGATAATTAATCATTTCAGTGAATAACTTATTAGTACCGCGTCTCGTCTTAACGTCCGGTAAATCCAAAATCAAAACCCAAATCATCGACGCACAATAATTCTCACTAATTTGACTGGATAGTTTCCACTCAATAGTCAGTAGCCTGGCACCGCTATTTATACACCTAGCAGAAAATAAGTCCAGAGTGCCACGCTCGAACCTCGGGGTCGGTAGTTACTTATTTACTTCTTATATGACGGGTTACAATTTTTGTAATATTTGAAAATTATTAATTATAGGCAAAAAAAATAATAATAGCGAAACGTTTGAGTTTTTACATTGTCTTATGCCTCTTATGTTAGGAAAAGCATGATACCGGTTCTCCCTGCAGAGGGAACATCATCAATGCGTATGTTTCATCGATTCTTCAATGTTAGAGTCGTGGGCTGAGAAGAATTGGTGATCCGTTCTCTATTAATTATCTGCCTAAATTCAGAGTGTAACGAGGAAGAAAAAAATTAATTATTGAAAAGGCTTGCCAAATTCCAGCTAAATTTATTTGTCCTGTGATAGTGACAAAATCGGTTTGATCAGATATAATTACATTCATTTTGTATTGCCATCTTTTCTTCTTTCCATCTTCTCATTTCAATCTTGTCCGCTATTCAAGATTCCTCTTCATATTTCTTTTCCATTATTTTGTTCGATCTTTCCTTCTTTCTCGCTTCATTTCTTTCTTTCTTTTACTTTTTTTTTTTATTTCTTTCGTTTATTTATTTATTGTTGGTTTCTTTCTTTTTACACCTGTGATTGATTCATAATCATTTTACATTTCCATTAAAATTATTTTCGATTTTTCTTTACTATTTTATTCATTATTTCCTTGGTTCTTTCTTTCATCTCTTTTTCCTTGTTTCTTTCATTCTGTCTTTCTTTTTCCGTTTTTTTTTTCTTTACGTCTGTGATTGATTCATAATACATTTTCATTTCCATTAAAATAATTTTCTCTTAACCTTCTTTTTTCATTTATTATTTCATTGGTTCTTTCTTTCATCTCCTTTTTTCCTCTTTTGTTTCATTTTATTACTTTTTTCTTTAATTCATTCTCTTTCATTTTTTTCGTTTCATTTTTTCTTTCTTTTTTTTCTTTCTTTCTTTCTTTCTTTCTTTCGACTTTTTTCTTTCTTTCTTTCTTTCTTTATTTTTAAGGTTATGATTCATTCATAATGACTTTTCTTTTCCTCTTAAATTCCCCTTTTCCTTTTTCCAGAGCAAAAGAATATCGGTTCCTTTAATTTTTTAATGCATTCATTCATTTCCTTCTATTCACACGTTCTTTTGCTAATTTCTTCATTTATTTGTTTTTGATTTCATTAATTCAATTAATTCCTTTTGCCATTCTTTTTCAGAAACATCGCACTCGACTTCCACAGACACACTCAAACATAATTGCTTCGTCATTCCTTCAGTCTTTGATTTCTTTGTTTTAATAAATTTAATCATTTTATCCTTCATTCATTTTGCCTCATTCACTTGCTTTTATTTTCAGAAGAATATTTTTCTTTCAAAATTTCGAAAACAGATATCATTCTTTATTTCACATCTTTTGATTTAATTTTTTCCATTTTTCTTTTTCATTTGCAATTTAATTTTTTGCCTTTGCAAAAAAAAAAAAAGTACTAGAGGTGCTGAAAAAATGTTGACCCAGACAAAAAAAAGGACTAAAAAGTGATATTACACCATTTGGTCAGATTTGGGGAGATAGATCGAGTTGAATATTTTTTACGCACCAATTCGTATTGTTTGGTTTTCCCTTTAAATTATTCATGCACTTTCTATTTTTATGTTTTTTTTTTCAAATAATCTCTGTCATCACTTTCATTAGTCTGTTTGTAAAATTGTTTTTTTTTTTTTACAAATATTACCTATTCGATCGCATTCTTTCCTACAGCTTTTCATTCTTTCTTGCATTTCTTCTTTCACTTTAGTCTTCAGCCAAATTCTAACACTAATTCTCTTCCTTTTACTTTTCGTTTTCTCTGTCTTTTTCTCGCCATATATTTTGTCCATATTTTTCACACCATATATCTTATCTATATTTCTTTCACTTTTCATTTACTCTCTTTCATTTTACTCTTCTCTCCGTCTCTACTCTTACCTCTCCTTAATTTAGATTATTTCTTTGTCTTTTTCTCTCCCTATAGTTCTTTTATATTTCTTTCGTTCAAGCCTTTGTCCCTCTCTACCCCTATTTCTCCTTATTCTCCATTTTCCTTTTTCCTTTTTTGCTATATTTCATAGATATTTCATTCGTTTTTCTTTTTTTTCTTTCGCACCAATCTTCCTCTACCTCTCCTTATTTACTTTATCATTTTCTTACTGTATATTTTGCTAATATTCTTTCTTTCTTTCTTTCTTTCTTTCTTTCTTTCTTTCTTTCTTTCTTTCTTTACATCTTCTCTAAGCCTACCTCTCTTTCAGCCATTTTTGTCTATTTTTCTATCTGACATTTCATTCTTATTTCATTGTTTTTTCTTCTTTGAATTCCTTTTCTTTTTTTTTCTTTTTTCATTCTTTCTTTCTTTTTGTATTATTTCTGTCTTTTAATGCATTTGTTCTTCATTCCTACTCTACTGATATCATTGCCTTATTTTACATCATCATATTTCCCCTCCTTCATCTCTTCCTATTTTTCATCCATATTCTTTCTTTCTTTTTATTCAGTATTTTCCCATGTATTTACTTTTTCGGGTTTTTTTCTCTCTCGTCTTTAAGTTAATTTATTTCTGCATTTTTGTGATACCTTTATTTTCGAAAATTACGAGTTCACCTTCTTTCTAGATCTCTCTTTCTCTTCATTTTCAATGGTTTTCGACATTTTCCTTTATTCTTCAATTCGCAGACGATCTTCAGATTTTATTTCCTCATTTTTATATTCCGAACTTTTTCTTTCGTTTTATTTTAATTTTTATACTTTGTTCTGCATCTCTTTAAAAGACATGCATTTTTTTTTATTCATGGAATACCTATTTTGTTGATTCCTTAATTATTCTTTCAGTTTTCATTTTCGTTTTTTTCTTGATCCTACCGGCTTTCTATTTTCTACGCCATTTTCTTTTATTCTTTCAGACATTTTGTCCTTCGATTCATTTTTTTAATTTTATCTTTACTTCTGTTTTTCCTTTAGTCCGACGCCTTCACCATTACAATCCTAGACTTAACAGTTTCTCACTCTTTACACCAAACGCCTCCACCTCCCCAAACGTGTAAGCATTCTCCTCCATATTTCCTTCACGTAATGTAATCAACTTCCACGCCGCGAACGCATTCTTCGAGAAATATTTACATTTCATTCATTCTATCTCGTTTCATTTTATTCCCCGACACCAGCGTTTTCATTCAATTATTCCCTTCCAGTTTTTTTTTTTTGGGGGGGGGGCAGAATATTTATTCTCCTTTTTTCTTGTATTTTAAATATTCCCTTCCTCAACTTTCCAATATTTTTCCCTTCGACAGAGTCTGCTTTTTTTTTTCTCATTTATTTTTAATGTCATCAGCTATGTTGGTGGGAGTATGGTCGACTGGCTGCACAGCCATTACTATTCTGTCCGCAAACGACGTCCCGGATGTATTCACTACTGCGCGAATTGGAAAATTTTCCCGCGTAAAAAACGAAAAAAAAAAAAAGGCTCACTGATTCTATCATTGTCTGCTTCCATATTAGATTTAGACATCTTGATACACGCCTTTTTTTTTGGCAGGAAAGCATGGAACATTCCTCAGCATGCGCAAATGAAAACGCACATGTAAATATATCTATTCATGCAAGCGGGGATGAGTATGTCACTAAGCGTATAATTTATACGATTTAGTCTATATAAATGTGTACGTGATTATGTGAGTCTGTTTGTTTATGTGCGTCGGTTGTGGAACCCTCTCAGTGCGAGCAAAATCCTTGTACATTTGTATGTTTTATATCTATTTATATTAAGGAATTATTCATGCAATGTATTTTTTGTGATGCATTCAAATATGTATACATTATTTTGATCAAGTGATTATATACGCTCTACAAATATGCGCATAGATAATTTTGGAATGTTATTATGCGTTAAAAGTTCCCAGCGTCTCTCTTTTTCTTTTTTTTTTTTTTTTTTTTTTTTTTTTTTTTTTTTTTTTTTTTGAAAACGAGACACTGAACACATAGTAATCGATTTATTTTTATATTTAAAACGCTGGAAATTTTTATAAAATAATAATATATCTGGAAATAAATTCATAGAATGTTGTATTTGTATACCGGCTGTAACCGTAAAATTGCACAAATCGTGTAACAGCAAAATTGTACAATTTTTGGATTAATTTCTGAACCATTGTATCATAAAAATGATATCGTACTGGTATTCTCTGCGGTTTTTATAACACTATTAGACCCTATTTGAGTAATGTATAATTACTCTCCAAGCTTAACAGAATATTCGTGATAAAATCGATCATAATCGAAAAAGACAAGTTTATTATTGATTAATTATAGGTAAGTATCAGAAGCCATGAAGTATTGAAATAAAGTTTAAATATATATGTATATTATTCCACTATCATTTCAAACTTATTCAAGATGATCTTCTCCCTCTCTAACCTTCTAACTTTCTGTCCTGGATTTTCAAGTAGAATTTCACTTTCAAGTTCTTTTTCACCGCCCTTGGACTCTCATAACTGAAACAGCTTTCTCCCGTGTCAACGGATTGATTTGGATTATTTCTAATTGATCTCTTTAGCTTTAAGTTAAAATGATGATCCCTCTTCCTGTTGAATGAAATTTTACTCTCACCTTTGCTCACTTGGTAAGACAATGATGCTGACACAAAATGATTTTAACTTGTTCTATATCTATATAGCAGAATAAGAATTTTTAGTAATTCTTGCGACATATGGGGTAAAGATAGCTGCCTTATCTGAAAACTTGGAAAAAGAACTTCAATTATTTTAGTGGTTTTCTAAATATTAAACATTTTGTGTGGTGGATAATTATGCTGTTACACGATTTGAACAAGGACACATGGCACAGTGGATAAAGGCGTTAGTTAGATCCAGTGACATGAACCAAAGAGCGTAAGTTCAATACCTAGTTAAGGCGGTGGAGAACTAGGACAGGGAATTAAGCAAGAGATAACTGATAACTGACATCCATTAGTTATGGCACGTGGAACTAGAACAGTCTACACTAGTGGCCGAAATAAATGTTTCAGTTCGATCTTCCAACCACCTGAAGAAGGCCAGAGCGTACAACGTCCGAAACTTTGTAATAAATATGGCGACAATGATGAGGACAATAGTCCGAATAATGTAAATATTGAACAATTTTGCTGTTTCACCCCGTATACTACAGTTAAAAAAATTAAGGTTCCCTGGAAATTTTTCAAATATACACATACAATATTTGTCTTGTAATTTAAATAAGAGAAATTTATCATACATGTTTAACAATAAATGAGACATGACTTTTTATTAGAAATTTTATTTTGATAAAAAAAAAACAAAACGATTAAATGATTAAATTATGCTCTTGTCAAAATATCCTCCTTTAGCTTTGATTACTGCAGCAAAATAATTTGGCATACGTTGAAAAAGTTTCACGAAGTCTCGGTTTGATATTTGATCCCTTTCTTTTTTTCACGATTCTAAGAGATTTCTTTTCTCATTTTTTCACTCTTCTCTCAAGTTCATCAGTGTTAAATCTGGAGGTGGCTTCAAACCTTTGAACTGTACTTTACATCGGTTGATTTACCAGTATTCTTTTTTTATATACCTAAAATTAATACTAGTAATAGTGGATAATTTACAAAGTATAATTAACACTGGATTTTTATTTTTACAATGGTGGATTTTACGATGGGTATCTATGCATTAAACTTATCTTAATAAGGCATAAGACACAACGTAAAATAAATAAAAAAGAAGATTCTTAATTGCAATGGAAGTCTCTAGGGTGAACATCATTATCATGTATAGTAAGACAACTAACCCAATAGTTTGATATCCATTCAAAGACTGAAGCTGCAATTAACCGAACAGTATTGATTTCTATGCCCAAAACATCTGTCTGTCTATTTCTCTGTCATATACGCATACCCATGACATCAGCCATTCATATAATGCTTTGAGTTCAGCAGTATGACAATTTAACTGTGTATATTTAATTATATGTAAATATTTTTGTGTATATGGATGATTAAATATGGAGTGAGAGACAGACAATTCCGGAAAAGATTAATGGATAATACAAACTGTGGACCCAAAGTCGGGACCACGGAAGGAAAACACGGAACACGGATTAGAGGTAAGAAAGATATATTAAACAAAAAGGTTTCAAAGATAGTGTAAGTGTAAGCGGAGCTTACTATGTGCTAGTGTCCAATATTGGTAGGCGTACGCGTCTGATACTACGGTATTAGAATACTCTCTCTCTCTCTCTAGTGTTATATCGCATTCTTTATATAGTCCTGGAAGAGTCCATGTTGTAGGTATGTTACGGTCTCACAACACAAACATATTTTTTTTAATAACAAATTAATATATTTCAATGAAATTTTATCCACAGTTAAGCACATATATAAGGTACAAAAAATCACTCGATTTTGTCGGCCACCACTTTCTTCAGGCTCCACCGGAAGCTGGAGCAGACCTTGGCGACGGTGTCCATGTTGGTCATGGCATTCTTGATAGCGACCTTGGAGCTTCCTAGGTGTTGTAGGGTTTGCTATTCCTCTCTTTCTCCATAACGACTTACACAAAATATAAGATAGCAGTCTGGTGATAAGGAGGTTCATAATTCAAGTCTTCCTTAACAGTACGCTTGATTGTCCGTTTGCTGTCAACCCATTCCTTGGCGATCATCCTCATGTTTTTTGGTGGGGTGGGGGTTCTCCTTGACAACGTCTGCGACGTCCAGGTAGCACCAGATCACTTTTTATGAGTCTTGAATTCAGACTTGAAATTGTCCTTGTCCTTCTTGCCTGACGCCCCATAGATCATAGGCCATGGTTTTAGAGAATTTAAACCATTCAATGATTTCCTTTATTTTGTGGTCGGTACGAAGAATTTCCACAACAGCAGCTCGAAGGTCGTATTCTGAAGACATTTTGACTACTAAGGACCTCGTTATTCAATAGCCAGATAGCTACTGAGGTGTATTACTTTCTAATAGCGCTCTAGAAACCTCGCTACGCTGTGATTTCAAAGTGCTGTTGTCACATAAACATTTTTGAATCATCTGCACCACACTGTATAAATGCTTGAAATTTCATAAATTAATTTGGGTATAGTTAGATATCCAATGAGCCTAATAATGTGGCAGAGTTGGATCTTTAGTTTTCGTTCTCAACACAAACACGTAAAAGATGATTCTGATACCCAAGATAGTCGGTAACACAAAATTACTATACCACATGAAATCTAAATACCGCTTACAATACTAGAAGAATTTACATTATGACAAAGCAAATATCAATAAAATTTTATTCAATCTAGGAGAATTATTTACATTTACTTCTCAATGAATATTAAAATTATTATAATTAATAATCAAGTTTTTATTAAAATAAAGA